TGGATTAATAAAATGTGGAATATGTATACCATGAAGTACTACCCAGTCATGTAAAAAAAAAAATGGTGAACTAATACCTTTTGTAACAACCTGGATGGAACTGGAAACCATTCTTCTAAGAGAAGTTACTAAGAATGGAAAAACAAACACCACACATTCTCACTATTAAATTGGAACTAATCAACACTTATGTGCACATATGGAAGTAAAACTCAACAGAAATCACGCAGGTGGGAGGCGGCAGGAAAGGATGCGCAAATTCACACCTAATGGGCATAATGTACACTGTCTGGGTGAAGGGCACACTTATAACTGACTCAAACTATAGAAAAGTAATTCAGGTAACCAAAACATTTGTACCCCTGTAATATTCTGAAAATTTTTTAAAAATGGCCAAAAAACTTTGTGACATCTACCATAATACAGAAAAAGTCCCCTCCTCCAAGTAATAATTTCTATCTGTCTTGATACTGCATTTGCAGAGAGATCTCTCAAATGACAGCATTCAGGCTCGTAAGAGTCTCATCAAGAGGCCATGCTTCCTTTCTTCCACCTAGAAAATAGTCATAAGCTATTTTCATTGGGCCCTTTCCATCGACTATATATCTATATAATATATCTATAAACCAGATCAGATCATATGTCTCTTACTTCAGGGAAGGCCACAGATTACTAATATCAATCTCTGGATATTATCTGCTCCCAGATTACTTTTTCGAATGGACATATCTCTTTAGTCATTCATTCAATAAACTGAGTGCCTATTACTTTACTGAGTGTCTACTGTGTGCCAACACAAAAGGGACATGAAAATATACACATGAAAAAGAGAGAACACAAATTACCAATATCAGAAATAAAAAAAGGATATCACTATAGATCCATGGAACTGAAAGGATAACAGAGGAATACCATGAATAACTCTATGACCACAAATTTGATAGTCTAAATGAAATGGACCAATTCCTTAAAAACACAATCTGGCCAGTCAGATACAGTGACTCATATCTGTATCCAGGCACTTTTGGAGGGGCTGAGGCAGGAGGACTGCTTGAGTTCAGGAATTCAAGACCAGCCTGAGCAAGAGCGAGACCCTGTCTCTACTTAACAGAAAAATTAGCCGGGTGTGGTGGTGTGTGTCTGTAGTCCCAGCTACTAGGAAGGCTGAGGCTGAGGATTACTTGAGCCCAGGATCTGGAGGTTGCAATGAGCTACGATGGTGCCACTACACACTAACACGCTACCTAAAGCAACAGATAAGATTCTGTCTCAAAAACACACACACACACACACACACACACACACACACAAATCTTCAAAACTCCCACAAAAAAAATTATCTGAATAGGCGTATATTTATTAGAGAGGAAATCAATAATAATAATAAACTTCCAAAGCAGAAAGCACCAGGCCCAATGGGCTACGTCTCTATGATCTCTTCGAGAAGACAAATGCAGAGGGAATACTTTTTAACTCATTCTATGAAGTCAGCATTACCTTAATACCAAACAAGGAAAAAAACCTGTAGGCTGGGTACAGTGGCTTATGCCTATGATCCTAGCACTTTGGGAGGCTAAGGTGGGAGGATCGTTTGAGGCCAGGAATTTGAGACCAGACTGGGCAACAGAGTGAAACCTTGTCTCTTAAAAAAAATTTAGCCAGGGGTGGTGGCACACACCTGTAATCCCAGACACTTGGGAGGCTGAAGTGGGAGGAGCGCTTGAGCCCAGGAGGTCAAGATTACCATGAGCTATGATCAGGCCACTGCACTCCGGCCTGGGCAACAGAGAAAGATACTGTCCCTAAAAAAATAAAAAAAAAAAAAAAAAAAAAAAAAAAAAAAAAAAAAAAAAAAAAAAAAAAAAAAAAAAAAAAAAAAAAAAAAAAAAAAAAAAAAAAAAAAAAAAAAAAAAAAAAAAAAAAATAAATAAAATAAAAAAACTGCTAACCAATCTTTCATAGGGATGCC